CCACCACAGGAAGAGAACATCTAGTGAAGAGAATAAATAAATAAATAGATAAATAAATAAATAGATACATGAATGAATAAAGAAAATTTAAGAAAAACATTGTGCTACAGATCAAACTGTTCTAAATATACAAAATTCTGTACATGTACATGTACATGTAGTATTACAGTAATCATTGTTAAATCTAGAAATTAATTATTTGTGACCATAATTGACAAAAGGGCCCTTATGGCGGATTTTAAAATTGATCGTTATATTGGAAAATATCAACCTGTCAGTGCTTTGTTAGACAATCATTGTTTCTAAAAGTTTCATGGTATTTTTTTGATCCTGTGGAGTAATTTTATGATAAATGGGGCTCAGGAAGTTGGATTTCTTAGGCTAGAAAGACAAATTTCACTACCCGCCATAAGGTACCTTTTGTCAATTATGGTCACATTTTTGAGAGACTGATCTAACTCAAAATGGGAGACTTAAGGACACCTAGGGATAAATATAAGAGACCAAAAGCTGAAGAATGAGAGATTTTAGGAGACACAGACCAAATATGGGAGAATAAAAGTCTCCTAAACTCCCTCTAGATCTAACAGTGATTATAAGTTATCATTATTGGAGCTTACTGATATTCAAATCTTCAATGACAAATAGAAAGCACATCAATAAATCCCTCATCTCCTGAAGGCTAAAACTACATGCATTAATAGAAACAGGAGCAACAGGAGAGGAGCTGGTACATTAGGATCAGGGGAGGAGCTGGTGTACATTAGGATCAGGAGAGGAGCTGGTACATTAGGATCAGGAGAGGAGCTGGTACATTAGGATCAGGAGAGAGAGGGGAGAGGAGGTTGAGATACTCACCATCAGGACACTGATCATCACCAGTAACATCAAGAGGACTAATGGCCTCTATCCCAGAAGCCGCCCTGTAATAGAATATTTAGTTTAATATATTCCCGTGGGATGATTTCCTAGATAGCAAAGGAGGATCAGTTCCTTCGCCAGTATTAGAAGGTTCTGAGTCACTTGGCGGAGTTAAGGGCGGGGCAATCTGGGAGGAGGATAGGAGGAAGGGTGGAGGGGGTAAGGGGAGGAGGTTCCTCTCTTCCTTTGTGGAGTTTTGATGAGTGTCAGAGGGGAAGAATAATCCACTGATCCTTTCCTTTTCCTCCTATGACAGTTAATACAAAATAATAATAATAATGATAATAAAAAATTATAGTAAGTACATGTACATGTACATGTATGAAGTTACTGAATAATGATTAAGTTAAAGGTTGTGTTAATGCATTTACATGTGCATGTATACAGAAACACAGGTTACATTGTAATGCTGTATAAACATACATGAACATGTACAGCTTCAACTGTTAACTACAAGAAAAGGAGAAGAGAGTCCAACTCACAATAGACTTTTACAAATAAGTGAGTATAAAACAAGATAAAAAATTACTATAGACAGTTCCCTAATCCATATACCGTATTTGCTCAAATAAACGCCCATGACAAATATTCTCTAGCTATAGATACACATATTCTACCCAGTATATGTGTCCTAGTCTTTAGATGGTCCCAGATAGCTTAACTGCTGAAGTAGGGGGTGGAACATCAGAAGGTCTTGAGTTGGAATTCTCTATGGGCATTTTGTTTGTTTTTTTTATTTGAATTTTTTCCCTGTTGAAATAAATGCCTGAGTGTTTAATCAAGCAAATACGGTATATATATATAAATAGAGAGTAAGCTATACAATTTTTGAATGGTTAACTTATAAACTTATTTTTGTCTTAAACTATCAATACTGTATAGCGGGAAATTTTGGAGGGAATTAAATTTGGTGAATTTGGCGTTTTGATAGCCATTCGCCAAAATAATTCCGCCATTTTGAGCCATTATACGCATGCTCAATGGCACGTGGCCACTAATTCACCAAATTAAAATCTGCCAATAACCAAAATTTAGCAATTCGCCAAATTTTAGTCCCTCCAAAATTTCCCGCTATACTGTATAAAATAATTAAACATTTGACTCATTCTAAACAAGCAAGGATATACATGTAGCAGTAACAGTTAATTAATTGAAGTTAACTCCACATGTTGCAATTGTTCTAGTGACTTAGAGAGGCTCCCATGATGTTGCATTGAGTATTATGCTCGTGAATATCATTCGCATCTCATTACATTTGTCAATAATCATGTTTTACAGAAATTTTTGAGTAACTTCAAAATTCATAAAAATCCAATTTTGATCAGAATCAGCTCAAACTTGCTACAAAACATAAGTACATGTACATGTATCAGAAAATATTATTAAAACTAAGATTTCTCTCCTTTTCAATTTTGGCAAAATTTGGCCAACACCCTGTACTATTAGTAATGTGGTAGCGTTACTAAGTACATGTATTATTAGAATTGGGGGTACCTGTTGTTGTCTAAGATACGACCCTTGACCTCGTTCAATGCAGTGAGGAGACTCTTCTCAAGGTGACGCAAACGAAGGAGGAACTCACCTAATGAATAATTAATGAATTAAATTATACATAATTATTAATAAAAGATAATTAATGTATCTTTAATTATTAAAATACTTTACCTTTTTCTCAACAGTTGATAAATCATTCTTAATAACACTAGCATCAGATATAACCATTGCATATTCTTCTTTATATCTAAGTAAAGAAATAAAATTAAAAATATAAGTTTCACTTTTAATGTATTTTGTTTTGTTCTTTACTTTGCTATAGAGGCTTCAAGTTCTGCTATTATTTTTGTTATTTCTTCTCCTTTTTGACGAGTGTCCTCAGCTTTGGTTTCCAAATCTTTCAATTCTTTACGTAACGGATCAACTCTCTTCAACATATCAGCATAACTCAACTATAGGAGAGAGAGAAGAGGATACAATATTATCAATACAATAAGGTACACATTTATTACAAAGAAATAACATGAATAAAAATGCCTCAAGTTCACTTTTAATTGTGTGCATTAAATTAGCATTTTAGATCCAATTGGGAGTTTGGCTTTAAAAATTCATAAAAATCTCAATTCAATCGGAATCAGCTCTAACTTCCTACACAATATAAAAACATGTATATGTATCAGAAAATGTTATAAAAATTGAGAATTCTCTACTTGAAATTTTTGGCAAAATTTAGCTAATGCCCCTGTACTATAGTACAGGGACTTTGACCTGATTTTGGAGCAACTTAAAAAATTTGTATAAAATCCAAATTTGATCAGAATCAACTCAAACATTCTACACAACATAAGAACTTTTATATACATCAGAAAATGTCATAAAAAAGAGAATTTTCTACTTGATATTTTTGGCAAAATTTACTATAGCACAGGGACTTTGACCCAATTTTTGAGCAACTTTAAAAATTCATAAAAAATCCAAATTTAATCAAAATCAGCTCAAACTTTCTACACAACACAAGAACATGTATATGCATCACTAAATTCCATATACAGAAGTACTGTAGCAATCAGAGAATTGTGGTAAATAAATATCACAGTATGTTATATCAATCACTGAATTCTCATCATTTGATAAATCTCATCTCATCATACAAATACATGTGTACATACATGTACATGTACATGTAATAGAAAATATCAGTGAAAAAAGAAGACCATACATGTAGTATGCAGGTTGTACA